AATAATAGGGGAGGATTTGATCACACCTGTCTCAGTACTGGACAGACCATCTAGGCAACAAACCAAAAGAGGAACAGTTAACCTATCAGATGAAGAGAACAAATGTATGGTTATTAGAGTGAGGAGGAAGAAGAGGAGAGGGGGTAGGGGGAAGGGGAGGAGGGATTGGATAAGGGGCATAGATTTGTAAGAATGAATATGCTAATAAAAAATAAGTTAAAAAAATAAATAAACTAGCAATAATCAGAAAGGCAAGAGAGATAGATAAGGAGAAGCCTGGTATGTGACAGAGATATAAAGGAAAGGTTGTCAGAGAGAGGACATTAGGGAAAAGCAGGGAAAAAATAAAACTGCATCAGTCAGAAAATACTGCTTAACAGGCAGGAAGACAGAACACTGGGACACTCCAGAATTAGCCTGTTCACATGTGCAAGCTTAAAAGTCCTTGCCTCAAATTTATTCTAAGAGCAAAAATATTTGTTCACTTTTTCCCCCTGGGGCTAAAATACAATTTATGGGACATATATCTAACACTCTAAGATAAAAAGGAATAGAAATGCAGATTTCTGGGGCTGGCTGGTTAGCTCAGTTGGTTATGAGCATGGTGTTATAACACCGAGGTTATGGGATTGAAGCCCTGTACCATCCAGCCACCAAAAAAAAAAAAAAAAAAAAAAAAAAAAAAAAAAAAAAAAAAAAGCAGATTTCTGAAGAGTGACTCTAAATGGACAAAATAAACGTCCTTCCCAAAGATTATAAAAATCACTACCATAATAGTTTCCCCAAGCTACCTCCTTCCAACCAACGTGTGTCTTGCACTGGTTTCCTAGACAATCTCAGCTACAAGGTTCCAATTTTCCAAAATCACAAAGAAGCCTAAAAGATATCATTACACCTTAGATGCTGAGTCTCTGGGACTTGAATCTCTTCATTTATTTTTTTAACTACCCCTCTTCTTTCTAATCAAATTCCTTTCTTTTTAAGCAATATAAACTTTTTTTCCAAAACCTATTTCTACCTTGGTGTTTTAATCCCTGAAGTAAGAAAAAGTAATAAACTGTGCTTCTTAACTAGGGTACCTGACAGAGTGCTATAGGATACAGAATTTCTGGATAAATTTGAGGCATCTGCCTCGAGCACCAATTTTAACTGGATTGATGGGGGGGAGGTGTATGCTAGCCCTAAAACGAGTGCAATGGCAGTGAATATAAAACTCACCTAAAATTTTAATATAAAAAAGAGAGACTTTGAAGAAATTCCATGTTTGCTTATAGTGGCAGAAACCCTATAGTTCTTTCTCTCCTGTGCTGTAAAGGAGACTACAGTGAAAAAGTTGAACAAACACTAAAGCAAGGATTGACAAAAAATAAAGGAACATTTACTTTCATTAAGTAGACACTTAATAAGAGCCTCCTATGCACCAGACACTTTGATAAATGCAAGAGCTATACAAATGAAAAAGCACAGGTCTCTAGTCTACTACCATGATTTTCAATCCTGGCTGAATATTAAAATCTCATGAGATACTTTAAAAAGTGTTGCCAGTCAGGTGCCACCCTCCCAGAGATTCTGATTTGTCTCAGGTTGGGCCCTGGAATTGAGTTTTTTTAAAGTTTCCCACATAACTCTAATAGGTAGCCAGGGTTAAAAACCACAGGGTGTCACAATGACTAGTCTCCTGCTATTTCTGACTAAAATTAACACTTCCATACAGGAAGAAAGTACGTGTAGACTGCCAGTCACCAATAAAAAGACAACCTGAAAAGAAGAATGGAAAAAGTATGTGTAAACTGCCAGTTACCAATAAAAAGAGAACTTTAAAAGAAGTAGGGACTGCTGTTTAAAAAAAAAAGAAAAAGAAATTTAGAGAGATTCGAAAACAGATTCCTAAGAACTAGAATGTCTGAGATAGCACCAGGCCTGGCTAGAGATGCCAGAAAGTATCCACACCTGCCTCTACTTTCTGCCATTTATTTATTTTTCCCTCAGCATCCACTGGCACCTAGAATCAGGAAGGATTTTAGATAAAATGGAAAACTATGAAGAAAAAACAGAAAAAGCTAAAACCTAGTTTTGAGTAAATAAAAAAAGACATTGGCTGCTAGTGGAAGAGGAATATATAGAGAGGCATGGTTCTAAGATAATTAGAAAAATCCTAGACAAAGAAATAACGAGAGTCTCCTCTCAGAAGTCAGAGTTGGCCTTATGCTTTCTGCAGACCTGGCATCAGTGGAGAGATGACCAACTACTTCAGGTAAGAGATTAGAGAAATTTTGTTTCTTGGGTTCTTGGTTTTAAATTTTTGTAAGTGGAAAGGAGGATACACTCCATACATGCAATAGTGCACACAGAGGAAATAAATACTGTTATTTTAAAATGAGATTAGCCAATAGGCTAAATAGGAAGGGCCCTGGATGGAAAGTATCACTGTATAAAAGAAAAGTCATTCAATACCATTAGTAAACTGGATCGTGTCAAAATAAAGTTTAATAATTATTTTCTCATTTTTTGAATCTCTAGGCCACTTTAAGCATGACCTGATAGTCAAGGAAGATAGGAGGAAAGAAACAGCCAAAGCAAACTCTCAATCTTTGAAAATAAACAAATCATCCACAAAGAGAAATCAAAAGGGTAAAAACTTCCTTACAATGACTTCCAAATTAGGAGAATAGCTAACATATGACTACTATGTGCCACACATTGTTCTAAGCACTTTATATGTATTAACTACCAATTGTCACATCAACCCTACGGGGTGAGTGCTAGTAATAGCTCCACTTTACAGATGAGGAAACTGAGGCAGAGAGACATTACCAGACAGATTACCATACATCATGAGGCTAATAAGTGGCAGAACTGGGATCTGAATCAGGCAGTCTGAATTATGCTGCCTAATTTACATGAGAAAACTATCAGGCTGTGGCTTGGTCAAAAGTATTTAGATTGTAGCTACTTTCTTGATACAATTACAAGAAATGGTTCAGTAAATAATGCTGCACCACAAACTGTTTTTTGGTTCTTTGACAAAGCAGCTAATTTTCTAAAAACAAAATTCTTGCTTTTGTGTTACCTGTCCTTTAGGAATAGGGGAGGTGAGAGGAGCTTAAACTAAGCCTTTTGGAAGTTTGTTTTACCACTTGAAATCCCACAATTATACAAATATTTCAACCACCCTGGCCAGAAGACCCATCTAAACCCACCAAAATAAATCATACAGAAAAAGTCTTACAGAGAGAGGTCAGAAAAAAAAAAAGAGTGAAGTTATATGTAAGATATTCCTTTTCCCAAATTCAGCATTTCATCTCACTAGCTATATCATTACAGAGTATTTATGTCACCTGTAAAGACATTCGTTTTGTGCTTCCAATATAGGGGCAGAGAAAGAAAAAGACAACTAATGCCTCTCACAGACCTGCCATCAGAAGGTCCGAAATAGGAAAGAGTTTGGGAATGAGCAGCAATAGAAAAAAAATGAGATAAGGTCTCTTACCATCTGGTGCTTAATTGATTATCTTTTTTTTTTTTTTTTGTCTTTTGTCTTTTTTTCCGTGTCCGGCAACGGATCGCAACCCTCAGTGTTGCCCCCGTACTGGACCGGGGACCGGCAACGGGATTGCAACCCTCGGTGTTGCTCCCGCGCCTCACTCAGCCAGTGAGCGGGAACCGGTCTGTATGTGGGATCCGAACCCTCGGGCGGGAGTGCCGCCGCGCTTCCCAAGCGGGGCACTTATCCAGTGCGCCACCGGGCCGGCCCCTTAATTGATTATCTTTACACTCAGCGTAAGTGACAATGCAGAGGGAATAGCTTCAGCCCTAGGGTATGACCAGCATACAGACACAGAATGAGGTGATGGGGCTGACCCAAGACTAAAACACACAGACCATCCTGAACCTGCAACTGCTTCTCGTCTACACAGCTTATGACAGCATTTTTGCCCTTATCAACTGTGGTCTTCTGCCATCCGGCCCTCCACACCCAGAACTCTCTGCTTTGCTAAGAGTTAGGTTTCCTTTCATTTGCCCTCTCAGTCCCCAAGGACTTCATCAATATTTAAGCCCAATCAAATCATGATTCTTAACTGAAAAATGACTGCCAAAGGTCTATTTCCAGAAAAACTAGTTAAATAATCTAGTAATACAGAGCAAATAACACTGCACTAAAAAGATGTGTTTTATGCTACTCGCCACCATTTAATAATTGCGTGACCCAATAAATATAATCTGATCTTCCTATATTTGTCTTACTTGTGAAATAAACCTACCACAATACAGGCCTTAAGGCAGAGGGTCAGCTCTTATAATCTCTTTTCTACAATTCTTTGATAATTCAACTCAGCAAGCACTTATTTCTCCAAACTCTACCTCACACTGGGGAGAGAAAATGACCACAAGGCATGCCAGAAAGTCAAAAACCTTACAACTAGTAAGAAGAGAAGACTAAGGACATTTTTTGCTTGAGAAATAAGAGTGGTAAGGCATTATTAAGGCTACTCTAAATCTTTTAGCCTAGCATTCAAAACCTTTTCAATACAGCTCCTCCACTCCAACTAGTTCATTTCCATCTCTGTATTTCTGCTTACGCTGTAAACCTCTTCAAAACCTGTAAGCATTCCCATTTCTTGCCTCCTTCTCAAAATCCCAATCTGAATTCATCTTTTTCATTGACTTGTCCTACACCAATCACCTTCGGCTTTCTATTTATCATGTACTATGTTCCTGCTTCCTAGCAACTTCCCATTTTGATTCTCCCTTTTTAAAGTCTTGGATAGAATTCAGGTTCATTATCAAAGGGATGATTGCTTGTTGAGTAAGCTTCATACATTTAGGTTTTGGGTAGAACTTTATTTTAAAAATAAACTGAGGGGCTGAGAAGTTTCAAAATTCTGAATACCTGAGGTGACACTGGTTGGAGATCAACCAGTGTCAAGGAAAGGGAGAGAATAACCACCGCACTTCCCAGAAAACTGGTCTAGGCATGATTCTGTTCGCTTAACGGTTACCTGTTTAGGGTCCTGTATGCACCTTCCACGTTCCCTTCCTGTACCATCACAGTCCTGGCAATGAACTTCAGATGTTTTGCCATTACCTTGGATTTGAGTCTTCGCTCTGCAAGACCTGAAAGACGACGGAGAAAGGGCAAGGAAAGTATAGAGACCAAGTAAGAAAGAGAAACACAACATAATACACAATTAACCGCGCGGCTTATTCAGGGTCTGGACACGCGAGACGGGGCATGTGGAAGTCTTCATATCCAAGAAAGTATACGCCAATTGTTATCAAGACTCCCTCATTCTCTTTGCCAATACAATTCCTAGCCTAGAGAAGAAAAGAGAAGGTAGCAGGGCACCACCACGGAGATCTGCGTCGCCGGGCACCAAAGGACAGGAGCAGCGGGGACGCGCCGCAGAGCCGCTCCCTTCCCCCCGCAACTACGCTCACGGCCCCAAAAGAGTTTGGGCTGGCAGCAGGGAAATGAGTCCTTATCGTTCTTTACGAAATGGGCAACAGCGCGCAAACCTGCCCTGCAGCCACGCCCGTCTTCCTTTCTCTAGCCCCTGCACAACCAACTCCAGCAGCGCTCAGGGACCCCGCCGACTTGAAGGTTTCCGCGACCGGAAGCGGAAACTACGGAATCCCCAGCGCCGCGCAAAGAAACCCAGGCTGAGGGGAGAAAACGGTGCGTGCAAACCATGGCAACGTTCTTTCTGGCCTGGATAGAAGGCCTTTCCTAGGGCCCTGAGCCTGGACTCTACATATGACAAAGCGAAATACTCGCTGACTTAAATTCTACCGAAACAGGTTCCTCGCCTTCCCATGGAGTCGTAGTCCTTCAGCCTCCGAGAAGGTCAGCCCAATTTCATACCCCTTAATCTTATTAACCCTCTAATAGATATCTAAGCCATTTCTTTTTTGGATGGAAAATGAGAGAAATAGGCGAAGCTTCCTGAGCTTATTTCCTGTTTTCTCTGCGGAATGGATCTGCTTTCCCTGTAAGATCCGTACCCTAGGCACAAATCCTACACGCCGGAGTGACTCGCCTCACAGAGACCACAAGACAAGAGATCGCTGCAATTCAAGCAAGAGGTGTTTATTCAGCATATGCTGGGCCGCCTGCTTTTCATAAGCGGCCCAGAACTTACAATACCAAGGCTTTTTATACATTTTTTTTTCCTTTTCTTAGGCAAACTCTCATAACAGGCTGTGCAGCTAATTAACTGTGGCACCTTAAGATTTATGATTAAGCTCAAAAAACTAGCACCATTAGTCCCCCGATAAAAGATGTTACATGTTTATTTTCCCTGGTCCAGCCAGGTGTTCAGAAGATAAGGGGGGGCTGGTTTAGTCCTTGGGCCCGGTTCTGCCTTGACTTCTGCCTGACCTCTTAAAAGCTGCTTTACTTAAAATACCTTTAGATATGTTTTCCTCGTTAGTAAGTGCTTACAGGAATAATATTTCTCTGTTACAATTTGTGCAGGCTAAAGCTACATAGGCAATAATATGGGTTAGAGTCACAATTTTCATATCATCCCGACGAAAAACAGCTTCACACACTCATCTGCCTAAAAACTAAGGGGAAAAAACCGAAATGAACATACCATGAGTTTCCTATAACATCACCTTGCCAGCCATTTCACTAAAGACATGGGAAACACATGGGTTTTAGAATAAAAAAGCTCTCTGTCAGCTTCTATGCCTTTTGCCTCCTAGTGAGAACTAGTAGAAATATCTCCTTTTAAATTTCTTCTTCACTGTGGAGACAGCTTTCCTTTTATTTGTATGCTACTTCTACATATACATTTATGGTTATTCATGTAAGTTCAGATCTAAGGGCTATGGCAAAGCATACTTCCCCTAGAACACACACACGAATACACACTGATGCATCCTTATCAGTTATGCTAGTAGGAATTCACACAGAAAACAAGCCTGCCTCAGAGTAAGCCTGGTTCAAAGTACCAAAATAGAGCTAGACTGGAACATCAATATGCTTATCAACAAACTTTTATTGAACACCTATTCTGTGCCAGGTATTGTTGATACCATTCTAGTGCCTTTTAGACGACTAGAAGACAGTATGTAGACATAAAAGATAGTGAAACAAGGTAGCATATAATAAATGCAATATAAATTGTATGGGCAACAGCATATGGTAGAGAGGCACTGGATTAGAAGTCGGGAGATCTGGATTCTGTCTCAATTCTGATACTCATCAGGCATATGACCTTGAACAAGTCACTTAGACAAGGAAACTACTGCCTGCAGGTCAAATCCAGCTCCACCCCTGTTTTTGTAAATAAAACTGTTGGATCACAGCCATGCTTATTCATTTATGTATTAGGTATGGCTGCTTTGGGATAGAAGGGCAGAGTTGGGTATTTGTAACAGAGATGTACAGCCTACAAATGCCTAAATTATTTATATCTGGCACTTCCCAGACTTAAATTCTCAGTCTATTTCCTCATCTGTAAAATAGGACTAATATCTGCCTTGTCAATCTCAAAAACTTGTCATGGCCAAGGACCGAGCCTATATTACTTAACAGAAAAAATGATAAGGAGAGGGACTTAGTTATTGAAAGAGGGGAGAGTTTAGATAACAGTACCAGGAAAGGCTGGGCAAGGTGAACATCATGGACAAGAGCTTAGAGGCATAAATATTTAGAGTGTTCTGGAGCAGAGAGATCATGCAGGGGAGAAGGAGAAATAGAGATCTTTTTTTTTTTTTTTTTTGTCTTTTTTTCCGTGTCCGGCAACGGATCGCAACCCTCAGTGTTGCCCCATACCGGACCAGGGACCAGCAACGGGACTGCAAACCTCGGTGTCGCTCCCGCGCCTCGCTCAGCCAGTGAGCGGGAGCCGGTCCGTATTTGGGATCCGAACCCTTGGGCGGGAGCGCCGCCGCGCTTCCCAAGCGGCGCACTATCCAGTGCGCCACCGGGCCGGCCCGAAATAGAGATCTTGACAAAAGATTTTGGACTTTCTTCTCTAAGCAGTAGGGAACCATTGAAGGATTTGAATAGGGGTTGACATGTAAAGCACTGTTCTAGGAAAATTAATCTGATTATCAGTGCGAAGGGATTAGAAGAGAGACTATTGCTATAGTGAAAGTCTAGACCAGAGTGGTGACAATGGAATATATAGGAAGAAATGGATTTTAAGAGACATTCCAAATAAAGAACAAAAAGGATCTTGTGACCAAATGGCATCAAATTTAAAGCCTAGTCATCTAGAAAAATGATGGTACCATAGACAGCACTAACAGAAGAGGGGACTATAAAAAGAGGGAGCAGGACATGTTTAAAGAATAACTTGATTGGTGATCACTGGAAAAAGCACAGAACTAGAAACCAAGAAATTCTGTACCACACACTGTTGTTTAGAACAAGTCACCTGTTTCCTCATCTATCAAATGAGGGGGGTTGGGTTGAATTAAATACAAAATGTACATCTTGGATCTAAAATGCTGAAATTGCAATAATTTTAAAGTACCAGCAATATGTAAATAAAACTTTCCAGCAGAAATTTAGACACTAGGGCCAGCCTGTGGCTCACTTCAGAGAGTGTGGTGCTGATAACACCAAGGCCATGGGTTCGGATCCCTATATAGGGATGGCCGGTTAGCTCACTTGGGAGAGCATGGTTCTGACAACACCAAGTCAAGGGTTAAGATCCCATTACTGGTCATCTTTTTTAAAAAAAAAGAAAGAAAAATTTAGACACTGAGTATGCCATCTCAGGACAAAGTTTGGAACTGGAGATGAAGCTTTAGCAGTCTTCTAAGCTGAAACAATAATTAAAGCCATGAAAGGAGATGAAACCTTTATGTGAAAGAACAGTCAGAGCAAAGGGCCAAGGCCTGAGCCTGGGGGAACACCCAAATTCTGGAGTAGGAAGAAGGCAGGCCAGATAGTTAAAAGGAGAATTAGGAGAGTGTGCTGTCATGGGATCCAAGGGAGGACAGTTTCAGTAGGCAGCATCAAGAGTATCAAATGGTACAGAGCATGAAATAAACAGCCTTTGTAAAGGCCTATGGGTTTAGCTGTTGATTAGGTGGAAGCTATGTTATAATACTGATTCTATGAGATCATTTAGTGACTTTGGAAGGTGCAACAAAGTAAAAATGGTGGAAGCTACACTGCAAGAGATTAAGTATTGAATAGTAGAAAGGAACTAGAAAGAGTACAATTAGATTACTCTATCAAGAATTATGGAGAAAAGAGGACAATCAGGCTCAAGAGATGTTTTTGAGGAGGAGGGATCTGATCAAACTTGTAGGAAAAATAAATAATTATGGGGAACAAATTGAAGTTACAAGATAAAGAGAGGATATGTGATACAGAAAGGTTTCAGGGGCAAAAGGTAATCAAAAGCACAAATGGAGAGCTTTGCCAGGTCATATTCTCTGAAATAAAGGGAGGCAATTATTCACTGAGCACAAAAGACTTGAGAAATGGGGGAAAGATATATAACTAGCTATGGGAAACATGCTAAGGAGCCAATAAGCAATGACTAAGAGGACAGAGTAGTCTGATACACTACAAAGGCTTAGGATGGGAGAGGAGATAGTTTTGGTGGGAACTGGGACAAATCAGAAAGACAGTAATACACAGAGAAGAGTAAATATAGATACATTCCTGGACCTCAGTTTTGCCTCCTTATAACACTGAATAGCCTTCCTTAGTCTACCATACATTTAGCAGCTGCAGCTTTTTGTAAAAGATGAGGCCCACTGGGGACCCCTCCTCTCTGACAGTTCTAGGGTATCCTTCCCTCTTCAAAACTAGCAACCACAGGGGCTGTTTTGGCTCTTGTGCCCTTCCTCTGGCAGAAGGTTACATATGCATTTACCCATAAGCATCAACAGCTTCCATCAAAGCAAAGAGCTATCCCAGGGCAAAAGAACTTGCTAGTCTGGGCCAACTGGAAGATTACAAGGGTGAGATACACAGAGGAAGGTAGTCTGGGCCAGCTGGAAGATTACAGGGGTGAGATACACAAAGGAAAAGCCTGAATGAAAAAATAAAACCAACTCTGTAACTGTCCCAAGGGTGTTCCTAGGACAATAGCAGCAGAGAGTCCCTTTTCCTCTGACACTACTTATATTGTCCCATCCAGACTTTAACTTGGTAGAGCACATGTTCACAAACATCCCCATCCCTCTTCTTTTCTGCGGATCAGAGTTTATAAAGATTGGTATTTGAAGCAGAAAGTTCTCAGTTTCCCACAATCAGCAAACTGTTTAAGTAAAATATGTCTTTAATCAGAAAGGATTTGTCTTCCCTCAATACAAATGCACACATTAAAAGTAAAAAATACATATACATGTATTTACACAAATTAGAAACTACAGAGGACAGTCACATGCCCTGGATTAGGGGCTGAGAAGATGGGAATCAGGAGCACTAGGACGATGGCTCCTCATCTGCTGCTCTAGGTGTCCTATGGTCATCTCTCTGGCCATGGTGGGTAGACTGGGAGGGGATGGGTTACAGCTCCAGTCTGATGGCAGAGTTACTGGCAAACTATGGCAATGAGGCCCTTCTCCAGATAGTTTCTTAGGATCACCAGAGATGACAGGAGATGCTGTAGTAGGTGGAACTAGAGTTGTTGAGTCAGAGTGGTTGAAGGGCTGCACTCCATGCTGGAGGAAAAGGATGACGCCAATGCTGGTTCCAGTGCCTAAAGGACCATGGCTAAAGGAGATGGTACCTGGGGAACTGAGAGGGGGGTTGCAAATTGGAGTGGTATGGATCCAGGTGAGGTTCATAGCTGGCCATTCTGTGATGTGCCAAGGCTGCTTTGGTTTCAAAACTAGATGTCTGAGCTGTATCTGGCCTATCTTTTCCATGGGAGGTGCAGGACAGGAAGCAGCTGAATCACTGTGGTGGCTTGGAAAATGCTAGGGAGGGGGGAAATGAGAAAAAAATTATGGAGAAAGATTTCAGATTAGCTCCACCTGTTTGCTTAAACCTTTACTTTCCTTGGGAACTCAGTTTGCAATGCAAACATACCTTGTTTTATGCAACAGGTGTGTTCTTGCCAGGCCATGATTAAGTAAAATTTTTAGTAACCAAATTATGCTTTCATTTATTCAACAAGTAGTTGAGGGCCTACTATGTACCACACACTATATTATGCACTGGATATCCAGAGAAGAACAAAATAAAACAGTCCCATATGTTCTATTTATAAAATAATTCCTTTTAGAAATTCTTTAAAGAAAATCTTACCTCAATACAAATCCACACATTAAAAGTAATATATATACATATATATACATATATTTACATAAATTAGAAACTACAGAGGACAGTCCTAATTTCTGTATTTTAAATTCTAATTTTCTGTGTTGAGTTTTTTAAGAAGTGTAAATTATTCAGGCAAGATCCTGCTGTTTATTTAGTCAATTATTCTCACAGAAATAATAACTATGGTTGATTGAAAACAAGGACTGGCTATTATCTACAGGAGACTCTACCCTCCCAATCTGATGCCCTCTAGATACCCTATTAGTTGAAAGTACAGAAAATAGGTCACTTCCACACCAAGTCTAAGAATCTATCCAACACTCCCCTTGTGGGTGCCCCATGGATGCCCTTTACTCAGTGATGTACCTCTTACGACCAGTCCTTGAAACCCAGTGTAGACACGAAGGCTTCCAGAGGGTTTGGTACAAGGATACTCAGGCAGGAGTGAAAAGGGAGAAGGGGGAAGAATTTTAGGGGTATCAGGAAAAAAAGGATCTGCAGAGAGACTCTGAGGCATCTTTCTGCATCAATCATTTGGCCAGGTAAAAAGCCTGTATCTATGCAGGAAGCAGATAAGTTGCAACATGAGGGATAAGATTAAATTTCATGGAGTTCTTCCCAGTGATCAAAAAATACAGAACAAAAATATCTATGAATTGAGACAATGCAGGAAGTTTAGGCATTCCCTTCCCTGAGAAGAAACGTGAGAAAAAGACCCAGAAGAAAATGAAAGGGGAGCCCACTTATGCATGCACATTTTGTTTCCTTGGTTAGTCTCCCACCTCTTCCTCAGTTTTTTAAGTTATTACCTTCATCAGCTGATGCCTGCCACCATGAAGTGATGACTTCTGGGCAGCTATATGAGGAAACCAAGTCTTTAACATCCCTTCTACCTGCAGCAGGGTTCCTAGATAGCGCTCCCTGTGAAAAGGACAGTTTAAAAAAGCCATAAAGTGTGAAAAAGAAGCAAGACAGGATTTCAGGGATCTCCTTTTATGAGGGACTGAAGAAAGAGTCAGGAAGACTTACCCCATCTGTGGCTTCTGCAAAACACCTACAATACGCTGAATCCTGTCCATTGCCACACTCTGCTGGAAACTGCTCAATCCTAGGGTCAGGGAGAGAGAAGGATCGAGGATTGAGAATCAAGAAAGCAGTCAGACAAAGGAAGAACAGAGGGGATTAAAATTGATTCACATAAAGAAGTTAAGTCGCTTTAGCTAAGTTGGTTAGAGAGAGAGAGACAGAGAGACAAAGAGACACACACACCACCACCACCACCACCACCACCACCCCCCAGAAGCAAAAAAAAAAAAAGGAAATAATCCAGGCCCCAAACAAAAGCTTAAGAGAAATACACTTTGAAGATTTAATTATTTTTTTTAAAGTTAAATTTAGCAGAGTTTAACCTAAAAAAAAAAAGAGAGAAATACACCTTTAAAAGAGGGAGAGAGACAGATCCGAATCTAGCCCAAAGCAATGCAACTAATAATTACCTCTCTCAAAGCGACCCATCTTCAGCCCATTCAGTAGGTCTGTGAGGGGACGTATAAATCCTTGGAGCTCTTTACACTGTGGGAAAACAGGACAAAGGCTATGAGAAGACCAAGAATTGCCCACACCAGTACTGATTCTTCCTCCACCTCCAAATCTGGGAGCTGATACTATTCTCATAAGGTTCTTATCAACCAGCTGGGTGCTAAGCCACTCCAGTAGTAACTCCTTTTTCCTGCTTTCTCTTACCTTCTGAGCAAACAGCAGGTCTCCCTCTGTGGTACAATCTTCGATGTTTAGACTGGTATCGAATTCACCATTTCTTGGCCTTTTGACCCCTGATCCTGCCATAGGAGAAGCCAAGCCCCGCTGTTCCCAGGGAGATGCCGTATGTTGGTTACTGGAAACCCTGGATCGATGCCTGCAGCGGATAGGACCTGAGCTGGGCCGAGAGCCTCCCCTCTGCCCAACAGTGTCTGGCCTGGGCCCGTCAGCCCTCTTGTTCTCCCTCTCACTATCAGAGGGGAAGCCAAAGTCACTGTTCACTGGGGAGGTGGAAAAAGAGGAAGAACAGGAAGAATTGGAAGAAACACTAGATGGAGAATCCATAGGTCCAGATGCAGGGGCTGGAGATCAGCTCCTGGAGTACGCAAAGATCGGAACCTGTAACTGAAGAGCAAAGCGAGGGAGTTTGAAACGAGAGTCTAAGGATTAGGAAATGAATTGGGAGACTGGGTGTACTGCACGGGATAATACCTTTTCTTCCCTTCCCCAATATTACCTGTCTCAGAGACAATAGAAAAAGTCATTTCCCACACCCCGCCCCCGCCCATTAAGAAACTGGGACTGCCTCTCCGGCCTCCACAGAGCAGCTCTGGGCCTGACACAGCCTCCATTCTTTTCTTCCTTCAGTTCGGAGTAAATAACTGTCTTGACACCTTCCCCTCCACCCGCTGTTCGCCTGAGCTGTTCCCCAGCCTGACCCCACAGCGAGCCTTTCCGACTAAGGCGACGCCACCGGTGAGCGGTAAATCTGAGCTCCCAAACCCACCTAGTGACCCTACAGAAACCGCCCCCCAAGAGACAGGCCTCCTGCTCCTTCCTAATCTTTCATGATCAGGATCCCTGCGCCGGTCCCTCTCTGGTCGCGCCTGCCAAGCGATGCAATCCCACTCTATCCAAGATGTACGTTCAAACCCGCTTCCTCTGGGTCCAATCCTCCCCAGCGGTTCGCTCTTCAGCCTACGAGTCTCCTCACCTGTGTCGGCCAGCCCAGCCTACGATCTGTCTCCAGCACCTTCTCAGTCTCTTTTGGTCTGGGCTACCCACCCCCGCTCCTCTCGCGCCTCTCGCGCCTCTCTCTCTCTCTCTCTCTCTCCCTCTCTCCTCTCTCCTCTCTCCTCTCTCAGTAGGTCCCGCCCCTTCCCCCCCAGACACGTGCGTCTCGGCACGTGCCTTCCCCTGCCTACACAAATCTCACGCCCTCATTGGTGTCTATCTTGTAACACGTGACACTCGTTACTGGCGTTCACAGCACATTCGCTACAGCACACAGGGGCTTGGCCAATAGAGAAGCAGTCAGGTGATGATTGGCTGGAAGGAGAGCATTCCGTGCTCCGCCCCTACATGCGGCTCCGGGAGAGGACCCGGTGATGAGCAAAGGAGGAGGGAACAAGAGTGGAAAAGAGGGGCGGGGAGGGAAAGGGCGGAGCCCAGGGCCGTAAATAGGGTGGTAATGGCCCGGAGACTCTCGGCTTGGTGTTCGGAGACTGGTTGTGGACCAGAGGTGCGCGCCTCAGGACGTGTGATCCTGTTTCGCTTCCGGAGCTGACCCCTCTGCCCCCTCTTTAAGCACCTCCGCTCACGAACGCAGCACGTGGAAACTATCAGCGACCTGTGTTTGCAACGTGTGAGAGAATGGATGTGTGACGCTGTATATTCCATCCCTTTCTCGGCGGCCCAGCCCTCGTGACTCCCGGTCTCTGTTTCACCCTCTCCTCCTCTCTCTCCTCTAAGTTGGGTGCCTCCTGCCCTGCTGGGTGAGGAGGGTGGGGACTGCTGCCGAGAACACCGCGTCCTCTCCCGGCCTCCCGCTGGGGCGGCTCCTCCAGCCCTTTCCTTACATAACCTGTCACGCACGTTACCGGCTCAGATGCCAGCCCGCCACAGCTACCAGAGGTCAAAGCCGAACTCGTTTGCTCTTGACTTTTCTGCCCGGCTTCTCGGACCCTGTGCCCTGAATTCCCTGATTTCGAGCACGGGGAACAGAGTGGGATAGGTCCCTGACCTCCTAGGTTATGGTTTTGTCCAGTTTTAGTTTTTCATTTGTTCCCTGGAGATTTGAAAAGCTTTGAAGGAAGGAGGGATGCAAGTCCTGAGTTAGAGAGTCTCAAAAGTAACTGGGACGTTACTATTCGTTGCCACTTGTAATAAGAGTACAACGGAGGGAAAGGGAATGGGGCCCTGGGATTGTGGGCTGGTTGACGATATGACACGGAGAAACCGCAAGGGGGCAGCCCAGATCTGATTAGAGTCTTGAGGAGAGAGAATTAAAAAAAAAAAAAAAAGTGTGTCGCTGCTATAATTACTAATTGCAGAAGGCACATCGTTGGATGGGGGTGTGGGTGGGAATGGGGAAAGATATGAATATTTTAAATCTATGCTAAGTAGTTTTTGATATTTTACATGTGTTTAACAACGTGCTTATTTTATTTATTTTTTTTAAAGTGTTCCAAATAAACTTCAACCCTGTTTCCCCAAGCACACTGTCGCAACACCGTATCTAATAAAATAAAACCATAAAGTTAGAGGGAATTATCGACTGGGAATAAACCTGTTTGTCTGTGGGTGCTCTTCTTCATTCTTCCCAAAATTTCAGTTTTACTCACAGTCCATAATTCCCTCAAATTCTATTGTCCCCTAACTCCTTTTCTAATCTACCCTTCCCGCCCCGAAATCTTGCTGCTCTCTGTAGTGTTGTGACTTTAGAATAGACCCTCATAAAGGAGTAGACCGTAACCAGATTGTTTCACTTATTATTTATTTTATCTTCCAATTTCCTCTTGCCAAACCCCCATCTAAAGAGTCATAGCAGCCATCTCTCACCTAAAAAAGCAAAGAAAAGGAAAAAATATCGGGACCCACGAAGCCCCTCCATGCCCCCCACTTCTGTGAACACTCCCCACATTGCGTATTCTGAGCTGGGACTTCCCTGGGATACTTCTGGGAAAGATGTGTCCCCTCCCCTCCTCACTCCCTCCTCCTTTTGCTAAATTTCCTTATGTCTGATAGTTATTTAGAATTCCAACTTAAATTCCTTCCCTCTAATACAGCTTTCTCATCCCTCTTCCCTTCCCCCACTATCTCTCCAGTACATTAGGGAATCACCATCTCTTCTGCGTCTGAACTTTGCTTCTTGACTCTACCAGGTTATAGGACCTGCCCATTTTGCCCTCTGGTACCTGCCATGCCTTGAGATGAGGTCAGGCTGGAATGAGCGCTGATTCCTTAAGGCATATTGGAAGCCTGGAGAGATGTTTTTCTCCATTCCATTTGCCTCTGCTCTAGGAGGTCCTGAAGTCCTCCCAGTTCAGAAAAATTAATGATTCATCATAAAAGTCTTTGCCTCAACATCTCCTAAACTTCTTCAAGATTAGATATTAGGAAGATTTTTCTAAATGTGATCCCTCTTCCTTCTTTAAGTAGCTGAGAATTGACGAGGATGAAAACACTAGCCAGAGATACTGGTAAGAATTACTTCACAAAACCCCCCAAAGCCAGTTGCTGCACTCTCACCTTCTACGTGAAATACATCCCCCACTGAATGAGGGTCCACCACAGGAGGGGAACAAGACTGTGCATCCTGGACACAGCATCATTCAGATCTGGACTCTGCTAAAATACAGACATCCCCCCACAGTAGGCCAGTGTCATCCTTCCTACTATTTCCCCCTCCCGCTTCAGAAGGATAGCCACTTCCTTACACCAACCTGTCTTCCTTTCCTTAGAGAAAGATCCAACCCTCCTCCCCATCACTATGAGTCCTTTCCTCTGTGTCTTTCAGCCATCACTGACCGTAACAGGGATGCCCCAACTCATTTCAATGATACCTATTTTTTTAATCTGTTATGTACATGATACTATTCTAGTCACTGTGCTAGGTGCTACAAGGAGGATATAAATATGAATAAGACATGGTTCCTGTCCTTAAGAAGTTTACAATCTAAAAGGAGACTGCTATATACTTTTTATTTTCTTTTATTGGTAGCTGGCTGGTATGGGGGTCCAAACCCATGACCTTGGTGTTACCAGCACCACGCTCTCTCAAATGATATATTTTTAAAAGATTTATCTATCTTATTGTCAATCTTCTGCTTTCCATTCCTACTGGCTCTCCCCCTCTGTTTTCAACTATATGCAGGCTGCTTTTTGGTCCTGTTAACCTTTCCAGCTGTTGCTTCTCTTTTTCATTACCAGATTTTTCTGGTGATTGGTCTATATTTGCCTCCACTTCCTCATAATGTACCTCCCTCTTCAGCTCCACAAAATCTAGCTTTTCTCTAACCACTCAATTAAAACTACTTTTCTGGGTGTTAACAATGACCTTCTCCTTGGCCTCTTGGTAGCTTTTAATTGATTATATTAAATTTTCTCTTCTAGACTCTGTAATACAAACTTGGCCATCTGCCTACTTATCCAATCAACCTTTCTCCATTTCCTTGGTTGATTCCTCTTCCTCCTTCTAGTAACTATAGAAGGCCATTGGCCTTCTAGTCTTCTGTGTGTACTGGCTCTGCTGAGCTCATTTATTTTCGTAACTGTGACTTTGCACTTAGAACTCTAGCCATGACCTAGTTCAGCTACTTTTAGGGCACCATCCTAGGGATGTCATCATAAATTCAGCTTGGCTCATACCAGATTCATGACTTCCTCCTAAACCATTCTGGCCTCCTATAATTCCCATTTTGGTCAACTATTTTCCCACACATCATACTTAAAACCTATAAGTTATTTTAACCTTCTCATCTATGAAATTATCACTGAAGCAGTGCATTTTCTTTAAAATATTTATAACTTTTCTTCTCTCCGCTTATAATTCCACGTCTATAGTTCAGGCCTTTAACAGATTGTTTCTGGAGCAATGTAAATCTCATAAATCTCTCTCCACTAAATTACATCCTGCACACAAGCAGACCAATAGTTTTTCTAAAATACTACTTTATTTCTTTACCATACTTAAGGACTTACTAGGCTCCCTATTGCTTATAAGTCCTATTGCTTCAGCCTGGCACTTCAGACTCTATAATTTGTCCCCAATTTAGCATATGTGAAATTACCAAGCAAATATTAGGAACCTTTCAAATTTAATTTTTTTCTTAATTCCCACTGTCCCCCTCCTTATACCCTCTCCTTGAATCGTACCCTATCCACTAAACTTGTTCTATTCCTTTCGCCTATGCAGCTCTTTCACTCTTGGAATAACTATTCTTCTTCCTAATTGCTTTCATCCTTTCATAACTTTCCACCAACCAAAAGCTCACCTGTTCTTCAAGATGTATTTCAATATATATCTTGACATATACCTCCTAAAAGCCTGCCAGTCAACTCTAGCCTGTATTGATTTTTCTCCTTACACTGGCTAAAGCACTTACCTATGTCATATGCTGTCAAGCTTATGTGTAATTTAACATTGTGACATACCTTTTCATCTTGTTCTAAATGTTTCATAAATGTGCCAGTCAACTCTAGCCTGTATTGATTTTTCTCCTTACACTGGCTAAAGCACTTACCTATGTCATATGCTGTCAAACTTATGTGTAATTTAACATTGTGACATACCTTTTCATCTTGTTCTAAATGTTTCATAAATGTAAACTTAAGTTTTATAGATTCCTTGAAGACGATAATAGCATCATAGATTTCTTTTTCTTTTCACCCCAGCTACCCCATAGATTTCTTTTTCATCAGCATCAGCATCCTCAGCAGCCTTAGGCATAGATTACATACACTTTAAGTACTATCGAACTAAAATTTAACTGCACCAAATCTCCCTGGTGTTCTGTATACAGGGTTAGTATTAAATCTTAGTGAAAGATATGATGGCCAAGTTGAGATGAACATCTGCATTGAAGTACTAGTTATTTGGTTTTCCCAACCACCGAAGCCTGGTATTCCGGCCTTCTGTCTACTCCATATCACCAGCCACTAGAGTTGGGATCTATCCAAGGTAAAGCACATTTTGTCTCCCTCCCCCCAATCCCCAATCAACTCACTGGTTCCATTGTTACTGGTTTCATGGTTATAGGCTTCTGATTGTCTGCACGTTCTGTTTCAAGACTAGTGGTAGTCTCTACTGCTTCCGTTACCTCCTTATCCATCCTGTTCTGCCCTCAGTAGGATTGGGAAACACAGAGTTATCATCTCCTCCATCCAACTTCCTCATAGATTCTCTATTTAGAGTTCTTCTCCCCGCTCCCACCACCCCCACTAAAGACTAAACTCAGGAATCCTTCCTACCCTGTGCTTACATGGATTATGTACCCATCCCATTCAACAAGTCCCTTGATTCAAGGACTGCCACTGCTTCTCAGTGTCCTAGCTAACCTACTGGGTTCTGGCTTCCTTCTTCCTCCCAGCTATGGTTAACAAATCTGTTCTGGGCCTACTTCCTAGTTTCTCTTCTTCTAACTCTTCTAACTTTCAATTCCTGCTAATCAGTTACATTCTTCTAACTTCTTCTAACTTTCAATTCCTGCTAATCAGTTACATTTCAACATTGCCCAGTTTCTTTCTTTCTGTTTATCTTATTATTTTAATTTATTATTTTTAACTTCTTTTTTTCCCTCTTCTTTCTATTTTTTTTGCCCAGTTTCTTTCTTTCTGTTTATCTTATTATTTTAATTTATTATTTTTAACTTCTTTTTTTCCCTCTTCTTTCTATTTTTTTTGCCCAGTTTCTTTTTAACTGTTACTTATCTTGATCCTCTTAGATGTAGAGGTCACTCACCAGCCTGTCCTCTGACTCAAAAATGGAGTAATCAATGGTGAAATTTGCACCAAAATCATCTGGGGAGGAGAAAAACATCAGTAATAAAAAAGGAGAAAGGTAACTCTAGATCCAGAAACAAAAGGGGAAGAAATTGCTCAGAACACTTCAACTTGCTCAAGTTGTAAAATGTATTGGCTATATATATGTTAATGAACATAATTCAATTCTAATTAACTTTTTTTTTCTTTGGTAGCTGGCCAGTATGAGGATCTGAACCCATGACCTTGGTGTTACAAGGCTGTGCTCTAACAATTGAGCTAACTGGCCAGCTTCAATTCTAATTAACTTTCATGTTAAAAATGTTTGTGAAAGTGTATGCATTTATATTTTCAATCTGGTATCTAAAATAATTTACAAATTTGAAAATCTTCAAATGGTTTCGACCATTTTCCAAAGAATTAAAAATTGCTAGCTTGAGAAACTACAGCATGAGTCTTGATAGTTTTTATTCATAGCCACATTTCTCTCTGACCCAGTTGCTCTGTTGCAAAGTGAAGGGCAAAGCCTCAGAACTAAGTATCCCCAAAGCCTCTCTACCATGCGAAGTGTAAGTCTTTCACATACTTACCATAACTCGGGGTGACTGTGTAAAAATAGACCACTTGATAATAATCTTCCTCTTCTAGTCCTTCATCCTCATATTCTTGTCCTATGGGGACAAGGACCACAGATCAAAGGGCACCTGGAACTCCTGAGCAACAGAAGGACACCTGGAGTTGATCCCAGCTCTACCAATTGTTTTTCTTTCTGCCTCCCCTCCAAGAGTCAAACTGTACTGTCTCCCTGCCTCTGCATGTATAAACCTTTCTCAATCTTCTGGGCTCTACATCTGTAATGAGGCCTATTACCCCATGCCCTTTCAATCCAGGAACTTCTAGAATGAAAACAGGTCCTTTCATATACTATAAACCCAAAGGGAGAACTAAACCTAAAAAAGGTAGGAAGATGAGAGATCAGAAATCACTTGGGAGAGTGCGGTGCTGATAACACCAAGGCCACAGGTTCAGATCCCTATATAGGGATGGCTGGTTAGCTCACTTGGGAGAACATGGTGCTGACAACACCAAGTCAAGGGTTAAGATTCCCTTACCAGTCATCTTTAAAAAGCGGGGGGGTGCTGGCCCGTGGTTCACTTGGGAGAGTGCGGTGCTGATAACACCAAGGCCATGGGTTTGGATCCCGTATAGGGATGGCCGGTTTGCTCACTTCAGAGAGCATGGTGCTGACACCACCAAGTCAATGGTTAAGATCCCCTTACTGGTCATCTTAAAAAAAAAAAAAGAAATTAAAAACACCAAATCTTCTATTCAGTATGCTCTGGATCTTAGTGTGTTTGTGAAAGATCTTCTCTTATCAGTGTCTCTCACAAATGACTAACACACATCCTTAGATTTTCGGGTTGGGTTTTTTTTTTTTTTTTTTTAAAAGATGACCGGTAAGGGGATCTCAACCCCTGGCTTGGTGCTGTCAGCACCACGCTCAGCCAGTCAGCTAACCGGCCATCCCTATATAGGATCCGAACCTGTGGCCTTGGTGTTATCAGCACTACACTCTCCTGATTGAGCCACGGGCCGTCCCTGGATTGGGGTTTTAATTCCAGTTTCACTGCTAACTAGCGGAATAACCCTATAGAAGCCATTTAATATTCTCTTTCTTAAAATGAGTCAGCTGGACTAAATGACCCATCTCTGTTAGTTTTTCTTCCTTTCAGAGCTAAAAATATGTGGCTTTGATATGATTGAATCAAGAACTCTACCCTGCCTGCTAAACATTTTCCTGAGCTCTTTGAATGCTTTCCCTCCAACTCCAAACTAATGACACAGGAATCTAGAGGAAAAGGAAACAATGAGACACACCTGGCAGACTGGGGAACAAAGAAGGGAAGGAGCCAAACTACTCCTGGGACCCTGTCCCTTAAGGCAGCCAGTTTTCCACTACACTAAAGGCCACCCCACTTCTACATCTTTACTAATACAAGGATTTTTCTACAATTCACTGGGAAAGGAGATATTGTGGCCTCCCTCACTAGTTTCAGACTGCCCCACCTTCCAGGAGTCCACCTCTTTCTGTCATTCTCACTTTAGTCCTTCTCACCTTGTTCAACTTTGTGGTGATGGAAAATTGAGTTCTGTCGTACTAGGACCTCCCCGTGTCTGGGGCTCCATCCTCAATAAACCTTCTTTTCTTTGACAGGACTCTGCTTTCCTCCCCTTTTCCCGGCTCTACCTTCTAGAACTCTGCTTTGCCCCAACACCGGACTCTGTCTAGCACAGATGAGAAAGTACTATCACTCCTCACTGAAATGCACCTCTCACTCTCTCCTCATTTTTTTTCCCCACCCCACCTATGGTAGAAGACCTGGTGCAAAAGCTCAGGGAGAGAAGTGGACTTACCCAGGATAAGTGGCAAAGCAAGGATGGCTACAAAGAGGACATCCATTCTGGATTCCGTACTATCGCTGTGAAAGTAGAAAGGAAGTTACAGCGTTTCCCACCAAACTTACCCCGCCTCCCCTCCTCCTCCAATGCAAGGAGGGAGTTGCAGAGACTCTTCTCCCAGGGGGCCAAATTCTCCGCCTACTTGCTGACTGACTAGATCTTCAGTTACTACCCGGTTATCAGAGCTGCCCATATTGAGAGAGGCAAAAGTGGATTTTGATGCAAACATGTTCATTGAGCTCCTTCAGCCCAGAAATTAGATCCTCTGCTACTACCCACTCCCAAAATTTACCAAGGAGCTTCCTCTTTCCAATCCTTTCGTTCCTCCCTCCCCCTCGCTGTCCCTAACTTACCATCACCATCCAGAGTTGCCCTTCTCTCTGAGGCTTAATCACAGTCTCTTTCTTCACAGTAGAAATGTTCTCAGAAAGGGGTTAGCATTTTTCTGGACTGAAAATAGTTCCTTTCCTTTGTCTGTCTTGGGCTATAATGGGAGCAATATTTACCCGTCATTATCTGACTCTCAAAGCACCTGCTGCATAACTTATGATAAAAATCTCTCAGCCAAGGTCAGTCATTTCCTTTACGGTAAGTAATGACCTCACCTCACCTCTTAACTTTCTGGACACAGGATGGAAGAAGAGAGGAAACAGATAGTCTCTTTCCCTACTGTAGGTGCCACACCCCCTTGGTCTTTCAGTCACTTGGTGTGTTGCCTTCATTCAGGCCTGCAGAGGTAGAGTTCTTATGCTTCCCTCTGCTTTTAGATTTTTTGTTTTCATTCAGTTCAATTCAGAAATGTTTAACAACATATGTGCTAGGTACAGTGTGCTAGGCCTAGTCTGACAGGCAATTCAGACAGGCAAGGGGATAAGAACACAATTTTTTGTTTGTTTGTTTGTTTTTTAAAGATGATGGGTAAAGGGATCTTAACCCTTGACTTCATGTTGTCAGCACCACGCTCTCCCAAGTGAGCTAACTGGCCATCCCTATATAGGGATCCAAACCCATGGCCTTGGTGTTATCAGCACCACACTCTCCTAAGTGAGCCACCGGCCAGCCCCTAAAAGAACACAGTTTTTTAAAAAAGAGAGTTAATAAATATCTTCTCAACATCTATCATGAGCCAAGCACTATGCAAGTCTCTGTGGAGCCACCCATGAACAAGGTAAGTTGAGAACCTACTTTCAACAGTCAGAACATGCTGTGGTAACAGCTCAAAGGAGAGATAAGAGTTGATAAGAGTGTCTCATCCCTATCTCTTTTCCCCGACAGCCTGCTGGACTCAGAAGCAGGACACACTGGAGTCTCGAACACTGACCAGGACACTTTCACCCTCTCAACCTTATTGGGGTAGGATTTGCTTGATGACTCCATGTAAATCTATACAATCTATTCCTCAGTTCCTTTCCAGAATTTCCTGGAAAAAGTGTAAAACACCTATGTGGGTGTACACAGATGCATTAAATCATAAATCACTTCCAGGAAGGAAAGGAAGCTTTAATAATGACGCAACAATTTCTATAGTTTCTTGGTACTTTGATTACAGTCTCAAAAAAAATATTCCAGATTCCCCCCAACTTTCCCATCCTAGGATTCCTCTGCTGAAACTAAATCCTCTCTGAGGACTAACCCTTCCCCATCCATATGAGGTTACAATGTCTTTCTCTTCTACTTTAACTTTCTTTCACTCTAATATGCAATCCCTCTCCCTAACTTGAGGAAAAGACACCACGAGGTTCATTTTTCAGAAAATAAATAGAGGAAGTATGACACAAAAGGAACTGAGTGACGGGGGTGAGGAGGAGTGCCGTTTTCTTTCATCCCCATCGCTCTAATTGCTTTTTAATTCCGGTCCTCTCTAAACGCCTTCCTAATATTTCTCTTCAGGCTCTTCTTGCTTCTCTCTGATTCTCCTGTCATTACAGATGAAGGCTTCGTTAGTGACATACTGTATTCCATGTTTACTATACTAGCCTATCGAAAGAGCTCCTTTGTAGTCCAACCTTCAAATGGGCAGCAGCTCTAGCCCATTTCCTCTCATTCAAGTAAGAATAATACCCGTCCCTATCTTCCTGCATCCCTTATCCTGTGTTCTCTTTGTTATTTGTCCCTTAGATTCAAACAGGATCTTCCCCCTCTGCAGCACTTCAAGAAGAGGTAGAACTGCTACCATCCTTCCCCACAAAGTTACGAAAGGAAACCACGGCCAAGGCGCAACCGAACCCAGGAATCCTTGCCCCGACTAGGCCCATTCCCGGCCCACCCCCTTTAACCGGCTGGAATCACTCCTAGGACGAAGTCGAGGGCTCAGAGTGCAGGAGGACTACAACTCCCAGCAGGTCGTGAAGCCACGCCCCCGCCGGCCCGCCC